CTTGTAATCGCCGTGATGAAGACCGCCGTCGAGGAGGGGAACCCCGGGCCATCGACGAGTGGGCCGCCGAGACTCGGCAGGCCGAGACTGCACTCGAACCCGCCAATGTCGCTGCCACTATCCGTGCCACTGTCGTAGCCGGACGCCTTGTGGCGCTTCTTCAGCGGGTGGTGCTGTGATGGCCCAGAACCCGGAGCCTGCGCCTGCGCTTGGGCCGGGAGCTGGGCCTGTGCTTGGGCCGGAGGCTGAGATGGCTGCGACGGCTGCGATGGCGGTGCCTGGGAATGGTCCCCGGCAGCAGCCGGCGGCGCCGGTCCTCCCGGCTGCTGGCAGGCTGACATACTTGAGCCGGCGGATTGCTCCTGCTGCTGCTGCTGCTGTTGTTTTTGTTGCTGCTGCTGCTGCTGCTGTTGCTGCTGCTGCGACCGCTGCTGCGACTGTTGCGGCGGCGGTTGCTGCTGCGACTGCTGCGACTGCTGCACCGGGGCCTCGAGCGCCGAAGAGAAGGGCGAGGAACTGAGCCCGAGACCCGCCAGCCGGGGACTTGATGGCGACGAGGACAGGGGGATGGCCATGACAGCCGGGCCGCCGGCGGCAGCGGTGGTCGCAGTGAAATGTGAAGGAATTGCCACCAATGAGCCACTGGTCGGCGAGTGGGCGACAGGCCCCCCGGCCAGGGACCCGCCGCCCGGGGGCTTCGGCTCCAGGAAGAGCGGCTCGGCTGCGCCGCCCACACCCCGGGGCGAGGAGAGCATGTGCATTGGCCGGGCCCCGCCGCCGGAGGGCGGTGTGCCCGACATGGCCAGGGTTCCCCCGAGGCCGGGGTCGCCCCCGAGGACCGCCGCCGATGAGACGACCCCGGTGGGCTCGGCCCCGGGCACATCTCCCGACCCAGGGAAGGGGGGGCCCTCGCCGGCGGGGCCGCCCCCGCTGCCACTCAGCAGGGCGCTCAGCAGCGAGGGCGAACGCTCGCCCAGACTGCCGGGGGCATTTGGGGCCGCCGGAGCGAAGACCAGCACCGGCGCGGCGCCGGCCACCGCCGGGCCCGCAGCCAGCGAGGCCAAATCACCGGCCGGGCCGCCGCCGGGAGCCGCCACCGCCGGCGACGTCGACAGGACAACCCCCCCAAGGGGCAGGACTGCGGCCGCGGCCGCGGCCTGCAAGCTGGCCAAGTCCGCCAGGACCACGGTCCCGGGGTTGGCCGCCGCGGCCGAGGTCACTCCACTCAGGGAAGACATCGACGGGCAGGGGGTGGGATTGCCCACGGGGCCCGGGCTTGACACGGTGCCGGCCCCGGCCCCACTGGCCGCCACCATGGCCCCGGTCGGGGAGAAGGGTACAGCCAAGGCAGCGGTCCCGGCTCCGGTGGCAGTGGCACCGGCCACAGGAACCACGGCAGCCGCGGCGGCGGCGGCGGCGGCGGCGGCAATGCCAGCGGCAGTGCCGGCCCCGCCGGCGGGCGTGCAAGCACCCGTGCTGGCTCCCACAATGGCAGGACCCCCGAAGGCAGACAGCAGCACCGAACCGGGGTCGCCGGCTGGAGGAGGCCCAGGCCCGCCAGGACGGCCACCAGGCCCGGAGCTGTGGTCGGCCGCCGCCGCCAAAACCACCGACCCGGCCGGCAGGGACACCGACGGACTGGGAGGCACCCCGCGGCCGGGAGGACCACCAAGCAGGCTGCCGGGGTCCGACGCCGAGGGGAGGAGGCCGTGCGTGCCGAAGCGCCCGATCGAATCCCGGCGCAGGAGCAGCGAGTCATCGGATTGGGACATCTCCTGCGAGTCGCGCCGCATGGAGCCACCGGAGGAGGTACCCCCGGGCCCGGTGCCGGCGCCGGCGCCGTGCGAGAAGTCCCCCAGGCGCAGGGCCGACACGGCGGTCGGCAGCCCGGCCGCCGGCGAGGGAGCGCCCGGCGGCACACCATGCTCCGGGGCCACAGACAGCGAGGCGACCCCGGCCGCGGTGGCCATCGGATCGACGCACCCCCCGGGCCCGGGCCCCGGGTAGGCCATGCTGGACAGGAACCCATGGTAGATGATGGACCGCAGGGTGAGCACCGCGTTGTCGAGAGCCGCCACCGCCACGATGCGTTGGCACACGATCGACCCCGGGTCCGCCTGGCTCGGCTCCTCCAGCAGGGCAAACAGCTGCCGGGCCGCATGCAGGGCCGGGCCGCTCAGCCGGCAGGGCATGACGATGCCGGCCAGCGGGACCGGCACCGTGGCGGCCGCCGCAGGGGGGGGGCCCGCAAACGGCGCGGCCGCCATCACCGGGGGGGCCGCGCCGGGGGTGCGGCCGGCGGCCAGACCGCCGCGCGTGGTCGACACCGGTGCCGGGAAGAGATGGTCCTCCGGGGACAGGCCCCCCCCCTCGGTCGAGGCCATGGACTGGTCGACGGCCGGCGAGGAGGCCGGCACGCAGGGGAACGCCTCCGAGGCCAGGGACGGCTTCAGCAGGACGGACCCGCAATTGCCAGGGAGGAGCCCACGCCCGGCACTCGGCCAATGCCCGACGGCCTGGCCGCGAGGACCGGCCGAGCCGGCGCCTGCCATCGGGGGGGCAGCGGCGGCGGCGGCGGCGGCGGCTCGTGCGCCGCCCCCAGCCCGCCGGCCGGTGTCCGAGCTTCCGGCCGCACGGGGAGGCGTCGCTCGTGGTGGCGCCGCCGCCCCGCCACGGGCCATGCGCGACACGGTGCAGTGCGGACACCGGCGGCTACCGAGTACCGACCGGAAGGTGGCGAGCGAGGCCACTGGCACCGCCAGGAAGGGGGAATTCGGCAGGAAGGCACTGAACTGGGCCGCTGGCAGCAGGGCAATGGACCCGCCGAAGTAGAGCCCGTCCCCGACACCGGCCGGCAGCGCCGGGGCCGGGGCCGGGGCCGGGGCCGGGGCCGGGGTCGAGCCGGTCGCCGCTCCCGGAGGCGGAGACACCGGCCCCGGCACCGGCGACGGGGGGCCCGACGCCGCACGCGGATCAACCTGCATATCATTCGGCGAGGAGGGCGACGAAGAGTGGGGGACTTGCGCCGAGGAGGGCGAGGGTGTCGGCCCGAGGGGCGAACCCATCATGGTGTCGCCATAGGCCGACAGCCCGGCGACATTGGTCAGGGAATTACTCTTGGCTCCGGGGCGCAAGGTGGCATCCGTCTCTCCGGGCCCGGCCATGCCATAGGCCGAGGGCGAGGAAGACGAAGACCCAGCCATACCGGGGGTCAGGGGAGACGAGTGCATTGAATCGGTCGAGCGCGATCGGCTGTGCCGACCGTCGGAATCGCGCTCGGCCATCCCGGCGGCCTGATTGTTCAGCCGGCTCAGGACGCTGGTTTGCTGGATCTTGAGGGCGGGCAGCTTGCCGCCCCCGGTGCGACCATGGCCGCCGGACCCGGTGGCAGACCCACTGCCGCTGCCGCCGCCGCCGCCGGTACCGGACCCGCTCCCAGACGAGGGGCCGCCCCCGGTGGTGGACCCGCTGCCGCCCAAGCCGACCCCCGTGCCGGGGCCATTCAGGGCATTGGCAATGGCCGGCGAGATGAGCCGCGGGCAGATGGGCTCGATGCGCCGGATGCAGCACCACAGGCTGGCCTTCTGCAAGAGCTCCAGGTCCGGCGCCCGCAAGGGCAGGGGATTGATGGCCGGAGGGAAGGTGAGCGTCCGCTCCAGGAAGTGCCAATTGTGCAGGGAAAAGAGAGCCGCCGGGTCGGGCCCGGCCAAGCCCAATTGCAAGATCCCCGACACATAGGCCATGGCGTAGGCAACGGCTCCGGGCTGCAGGCCAGCCTGCCGTAAACTTTCGAAGGAGCTGCTGCGCGAGAGCGACCGCGAACCGGGGCCACTGACACCGTTGCTTCCGCCGCCGCCGCCGCCGCCGCCGCCGCCGCCGCCGCCGCCGTTCCCCAGCCCGAGGGAGGACAAGTTGCTGGAGCTGCCAGCCCAGGAGGAAAGCCCACTGTGGGAGTTGGACCGGCGACCGCCAGGGCCGGAGGAGCCCGGGGCCCCAGGCACAGGCGGGTCGCCGGAGGGCAGACTATTGAGCACGGCCCACGAGGAGCCGCCAGTGCCAGACCCGGGGCCACGCGCATGTTGACCAAACTGGTGGTGGTGGTGGTGGTGGTGGTGGTGGTGGTGGTGGAAGTGCGGGTGCATGTGCGGATGCGGATGCGGATGATGCGACCCCGGGATAAGCGCGCGGCCAACATTGTCCAGCGACTCGTGGCCCAGGGCCAGGCACAGCAGCGAGGGGTCTTGGAAAATCCGCAACAACAGCTGGCAGGCCAGCCGGTGGGCACCATTGCCAATGACATCGGCTCGCTGGATGGTCCGGCCGGGGGGCGGCCCATGGGCCAGGCCAGAGGCCGAGTGGCCGGGCCCACCGGCGCCGCTGCCGCTGCCACCGCCAGGCCCATGGTCCGATGAGGTGGCAGAAGCCCGCGCCCCGCCGGCCGGCTGCAGTCGCAGATATCGGCGGATGAGCACGGTGGCGAAGCCGGAGGACACCAGCCGCCCCATGGCACAGGGGTTGAAGTGGATAAAGTGATTCAGCAGCAACAGGTGCCGGTAGCAATTGAGCGGACTCGGGGACCAATCAATCGAGGCATTGTGGTGCAACTGCGAGTGATGCTGCTGATGATGGGGGTGCTGATGGGAGGATGACGACCCGGAGCCCGGGGCCGGGCTGCCGGCCAGGCGAAAGGCAGGGCTCAAAGAAGAAGCCGGCCCGGCCGCCCGGCGAATGATGGCCAAAATGCCGTCCAGCAAATCGGCATCCGGGGCCACGAAGCGCGCGAACACCGCCGGGCTGGTGGCCATATTCGAAAGGACCAGGATGGCGTAAATTTGCTCCGGCGGCGGGCAATGCACGGCCCCCGGCAGCGAAGCCGACGTCAGGGCATGGAAGCCAGGCCGCGCGCGGGGGACCGCACGCCAGTGCCAGTTGTCCGTGCCGCCCGGCCAAACTGCCGGGAGTCGGCCCCCGAGGGACCCGGGAGGGGCGGCAGCAAGGTCGGCCGCCAGGTCGGCGGTCAGTCCGGCGATGGCGACATGCGCATGGCCGGCCCCGGGGCCGGGCCCGGGCCCGGGCCGGGTGCCAGCGGCTCCGGCACCCGGGGCGGTGCCATCCCGCTGGGCAGCCCCGGCCCCGGGGCGCGACAGACGCGCATCCGGGATCTCGGTCAGGACGGCTTCCAAATCCGGGCGATAGGCAAAGTACGTCGGGTCCAGGAGGGCCACCGCCCGAGCAACGAGCCCGGGATTGCGCGCCCACACGGCATCCACACAGGCGGACGTTTGGAAGAGGTTCGCCAGCAGCAGGGCCACCGAAGCATGGAGGGCAATGTAGTGCGGCTCGCGGGAGAAGACGGCCACACGAGCAGCCGCCCGGCTGCCGGGCCCATGGCCAGAGGACCCGAACAGCAGGGGGCCGCCCATGGCCCCCATGGGCCCCACGGAAAAGCCCCCCCGGCGGGAGTCCAAGGGAACAAAGAGAGCCCGACTGGCACACCCGGCCCGGGCCTGCCGCGATCCGGCGTAAGACCCGTCCACGCAGGTGGCCAACGCGGCCAGGAGGGCTGGATTGGTGGCAATCTCGCCGCGGAGCTCCGACAGGTTGGTGGTCGTGGAATCCGCATGCAGGAGCAGCCCCAGCACCCGGATGGCGAAGGTCAAGGCCCGGACGCGCAGATCGTCCACATACGCGTGGGGGAATTCCCGGCGCTGGAAGATCGGCGGCACGGGGGGCCGATCGGCCAGGGCCAGGCCCAGGAGCGAGCCAGCGGTGCTGTGCTCCGGAGGGCCGGGGACCGGGGCCGGGGCCGGGGCGGCGCCCGCCACCGGCGGACCACCGTCACCCGGGCTGCCGGTCGACAGGAAACGCCCGGAGAGTGACTGGCTGCGCTTGCGGCCATCCGGGATGCCGGTCGCGGATGCCGCGCTGACAGGTGCTATCCCGGGCGCCGGAGAATCCAGACGCATGCTGGCACTGCGCTCGCGCGGTGAGGGCAGCCCGCCCATGTCCGACATTCGACCATCCGGCGACATGGCGCCATGGCCATCGTCAGAGCGCATGCCGGGCGACGAGGAGCACGGGGGCGACAGCTCAGCACCGGGGCCGGTTGCCGCGGTGGCAAGGCCCGTCCCGAGTCCGGCGGTCGGGGCATCCCCGGGTGTGGGAGTGGCAGCGGCGGCGGCGGCGGCGGCGGCGGCGGCGGCGGCGGCGGCGGCGGCGGCCGTCGCAGCGGCCGGGGCAGTACCAGCACCGGCACCGGCACCGGCCGTCGGGATGGTTCCGCCACCGGCGACAGCCCAGTGAGACATGGAGTCCGAGAGGGCCAGCTCCTCCGGGGTCAGGCCGGCCGTCTCGCGAATCACATAAGCCACCAGCAGGTGCAGGAAACCGATGGCGATGACGCGGCTGGGGACGCCGACATTTTGCACCAGCGCCTCGATGTACAGGAGGATGGCAATGCGGTCCTCGATGAAGTGGCGGCGCATGGACACCGGCAAACGCGGCCCGCCGGGCAGGCTGGCCGCGTGGGTCAGCTGCTGCGGCAGGCGGTAGTACGCGGCCGCGACCGCCGGGTCCGCCAAAGGCCCAGTGTCGCCAGAGACGGAAAACCGCCGAGGCGAGGACAGCTGCCCGGAGAGGGGATCCACCGTGAGGATGGGCTGGGTCTCGGGGCTGGCCACTTGACTGGAGAGGGAGGTCGCGGTGTCGAGATCCTCCGGCGAACTGGAGTCCATGGGCGGTGTGCGTGGCGAGAAGAGTGCTACGGGAGAGGGGCATGTAAGTTAGAGGGATATAGGTGGATGTTGAGGGAAGGGGGAGTGGATGGAGTGGATGGAGTGGATGGAGTGGATGGAGTGGATGGAGTGGATGGAGTGGATGGAGTGGATGGAGTGGAGAATGAAGGAGGCAGGAGGAGGCAGGAGGAGGCAGGAGGAGGAAGAAAGAGAGGAATGGCGTACTCCCAGCACCAGGGGGGGGATCGGCCACCGGGACCGGCGGCGCCTCATCGAGGGAGTTGATGAAGGCGATTTGCAATTGAGGGATGTTGAGGTTGTTGAGGGCCGATCCGAAGTAGCGTGCGGCCATGCGGGCGCCCGGGGTCGAGTGGGCATTGGCCAGCGAGGCCAGGGCCATGGAGCAAATGGACCGGACGTGCGGCACTCGCAGGCTGGACAGGGGGCTGTTGGAGGCGGACGGGGGAGGGGTCATCGGGAGAGCCCCACCGGGGGCGACGGCCGGCCGGCCGGCCGGCGAGGTGGCCGGAGCCCGGGCATGCACGGCCCGGTGGAGAAACTCCAGCACGCCATCGCGGAAGAGGGCATGTGCGGTATCGTCGTCCGGAGCATCGGCGCAGATGAATGCCAGGATGTATGCCGCGGCGGTGGCCAGAGCCACGTCCATGCGGTTTTCGATGACATCCATCAGATACCGGAGGGGGGAGAAAGTTTTGGACCGGGTGCTACGCCAGGGCCCAGCCGGCAAGCCGGGAGAACGGAGCGGGCCAATGAGATGGGGGCGGCAAGGGAGCAGAAGGGCAGAGAGAGGGAGGGGGGCAGGGGAGG